CGCGGGGCCCTTGGGTCGGCGAAGTAGCCGGCGGCTTCCCGGAAGAGCTGAGTTGCGGCGCGGTGAGTGAAGCCTAACTGCCGGGGTATGCCAAGTGTCCGATGGTGGCGCAGATGCCTGCAGGGCCAGTGGGGAGGACGTTAGTAACCAGAAGAGCCACGGTGATCAGGATAGTTCCCGAGACCCCGGTTACAAACGAGCATCGGGGAGGCGGAGGCCTGATGACTCCGAGACGGTGCGTCTGTTCGGTTCTGAAGGCAGAATTTGTCTAGGGTTTTGTCTGAAGTGCCGAAGGCGCGCATAACAGAAAAGTTGCGGGTGTTTCTCGATGCTCAATAATCGGCTCTAAGGCAAAACGAAACTGGGAGGAGTCGGCGAATAGCAGCGACCTGCCAGGACCCTGGCGGGCGAGCCTGTGAGCGGCTGCTGTCCGCGGTGCTGAAGAAAAGACTGGCGAGTCTTGGGGAAGAAACGCGAGGAGGGCAGGGCGGTGTTCGGTCCCCGGGCCGCGCTTGGCGCCCTACCTTTGACTTCAATCTTTCTATCAGCGCTGGACACTCAGGTGGCTCACAATGAGTTTTTAATTTCATGAAATCTAGGAAAGCCTCATCCGAGGAAGAAATTTCTTTCCTTTCTCCTTACAACAGGCCACCTTCAACTTTTGCAATGACTCATAATCTTGCCTTCAGGCTTGAGGCGGTGAAAGCATTTTGCTAGGCCTCTGTATTGACCCAGACCTCTAGCCAAATGCACTGTAAAATGGGGTTTTCCTAAACTTCCCAAATGAGAGGGCTGAGCGGCCAGGGGAATGGCAAAGCAACTAATTGTGCTTTCCCTCACAATTGCACACGAAGAACACTTTCTTATTTATGAAAGAAATGGAAGAACTGGGCAGTCTTCCAATAAAGGAAAGACCATGAGTTTTCCAGTTGGTTCTCATACTTGTTTGCTGCTGTTGCTGTGTGTGTGTGTGTGTGTATGCACATGTGTGCCCATGCCTAAGGAATGGTGTTCCCCTGTTGGATTTTACAGAGTTGATTTTTTTTTTCTATCTGTTGATACTAAAACTTTTACTAGGCCTTAATACCAGCTGCTTGTTTGTTTTTAAGTCTGATTAAGGTTAGAGTCTGGAAGGTGGAGGAGGAAGGAAATGTGAAATATGTTGCATTTACCTGATTCATGGTGATCACAGATGCATCGGGCATATGAAAAACTATGCATCCAGAATAAAAGTGTGTTTAAGTGTATTCTTTCATTTACCCAGTATTACATCTTGACTTTTTTGTCCTCTTTTCAGAAGACCAATGGGTTGAGGTAGTCAAATATTCAAATGTTGCAAAGCTGAGGACAAGTAGAAGTAACTTGAGATGTTTTTATCATTTAGCAGAAATGTACCACAGCTTGTAGCACAGCTTTGATTAAAGATGACTTCCTTGCTTGCTCAAGAAATTCGCCTTTCTAAAAGACATGAAGAAATGTAAGTTTTACTAAAAAGGATATTCCAAATATTAGTGAAACATCGTTTGCACAGAAAGACTTTAAAAAAAAAACTTGAAAGTGTGTCATTTTTTCATTTTCTGACACATAAAAGATTTTGTTGTTAGGAAATTTCATTGTCTATTAAGAATAGCCAGGCCCAGCTGCAGTGGCCTACTGGTAACACAATGCTTTACAATGCTGGAGGCTGCATAGAGGACTGGGGTTCGGTTCCAGAGAGATCTGTACATGCCTACTGTGAAAGCACACAGAGATCCTAACTGGCTGAGAAAGACTGGGGAGAAGGATCATGGTGTGAGGCCTTGTTGAGGGTCTCTGTCTCTCTCTGTCTCACTCTCATGAAAGAAATTTTAAAATTTACAAAATTAAAACATTTAATTATGCTCTGTATCTTTTTTATTTTTATTATTAATACCTATATAAGTTCACTCTTCCTGCCATGTCTTTTAACAAACTTCTGTAAGCCTCTTACCTAGGGCCAGCTACACAGTTACAGAACCTGTGCTTGGTTTAATGCTCAAACATCACTGTCTTGAATAGTTTTGCACTGGGCCTGCAAACTGTCTAGCCAATCTTACTCTTACATTAGAATGAGTCCTTTTATTCCTTTCTCTGTGGGCTCTCAGGTTTTCCTTCTTTAATTAATTACAAAGCCCTCTTCCCTGACCTTCTAAAATACCTTCCTTACAAAAGATGACTATTCAAAGACCTGGGTTTTTCAAGTTCTACCCACAAGAAAGTCCCATTAAACAGGGTTCCTTGAGAACCTCTATTTGGAAATGGCTAGACTGTTGTATGTGTTTATCATTCTATATTTTTATCATGTGACATATTTTCTTATTACCATTTCAGAGGACCAGAAATTTGCAAGGTGAACATTTGACCAGCCAGAAACTTTTAAACTACTGGGTCATCTGAAAAGTCATGACACATTTTTTGTGTAGAAAAACAGAAAAATGCATCATGACTTTTTCAACGACCCTATATATTACATGTAACAAAGTCGTATGAAATTTATTTTTTCCATCTTTCTTCGATTACTGTTTTACCTTGTTGTGAATATGCATATATACACACAGCCTCTCACTCATATATGAAACCATCATCTTTCTTTTGGAAAAAGAGGGAAAAAATATTTTTATTGCTTCTTCAAACATATGGAAGTTTAGCACAATTCTAAATGTGTAACATGAGATTCAGGGGTACTGAAGTGTTAAGCAGAAGGTTTCATATAGCAAGTTATATCAACGTATGTGTGTGGGGAGGTATATATAACTGTGTGTACAAAGGGATATGTATTACAGTTTGCATTTTCACCAAAAATTAAAACATATCCTTAACACTTTAAAATAATTTCAAAAGACCAGAGAGGCTAAAAAGCAGAAGCATGTACTTATGGCATATATAAAGAAATGTTCATGGAAATAAAAATAATTTTACCCAGACTGACTTAAGATTTATTGAATTACCCAAGTCTTTCACCATCTTATTAGTTGATATAATAATTCATTTTCAAAATAGGATAAAGTTGAAGTAACGTGTAACTAGAAATGAAGTTTTTTTTTATATTGCTCAGGCAATGAAATGTTTACTTTGTCTATTTTTTTAACTATGTAATTCCATTTTTCCTAGAGTATCACAAAGATTAAAGTTACTTCTACAAATGGAGACTAAATGTGGAGATCAAAACACAGAAAGGGCATCTCAGCTGCAAGCAGCTGAGACTGCTTTGAAAAGGAATCTCGATCTTTTAAAGGTAAGTTTCCATGACTTGAATATAGAGACTTTTCCCACTTTTCCAAAAATGTTTTAAATGAGTCTCATAACTTGCATTTGTATTTCTTTGTCCTGAGTAATAAGAATTAATGAAGCAGCATTTTTTTTAACCTGTTAGCTGGATAATTAGCATATGGATTCTCTCTCTCTCTCTCTCTCTCTCTTTATTTTACATGAAAAAACGTGAAGTTTGCTTTAGCTAATTTTTTTCAAACAATGACTACAGCAAAAAATTAAAGGTCACCTTTGCACCAAGAGTAAGAAATAGAAGATGTACCTTTCCATTGTCCATATTCTTTTATTTGAAGGGAGTTTCTGAAAGACTATAAAGTCTTTAGGTATTTAGCTCCAACTCAACACTATTAAACATCACAAAACCAAGAACAATTTGATTTTTCTCTATTGGGGCCACAGTCAACACAGAGACTTCATATCTATGATAACAGATTTCCCAGCTCCCTTTTGATGGTTATGGAGGAGGTGGTCAGAGTGGATGATTACGCAGGGCCTCACCATTTGGCCAATTTGCCCATTTGGAGGAGAATCATATGTGTAACATTTTTGGCTGCTTGCTACACTTTGCTTCCAGAATTGTATGGCTTCATCCATAATTAAAACCCTAAAGTTTGCTTCCATTCAAGCTTCCAAGAGATCCTATGACTAAAACATTTGGTAGTAAGACTATATTATTTAAGTTATAAAGCAGTGTTTTCACTTTTTTATTGTTAAATATTTTCATCGATAGGCATGATATAGTTATCTTCTGTCCTCACTAGAGGATAAAGGAAGAGGAAACTTCAGTTATCTTCTCAGCTTCTGGCAGTTTGATCTACAGTAATTTAAGTCACAGCCATAGTGCTACCAAAGCATTCTATATTGCCATATGTCTTACTTGCCCAATGGTGTTAGCAATATTTATTTTTAAATGGAAATATATAGGATAATCTGGAATTTGCTGTGAAAAGTTAGAAAAACTACATCAGAAGGCTTGGTTGCTATCTACCTGCAGCAAGTGATGCATTAGTTGATTTTCTAGTGTTTTTCTTTTAATGAGCAAGTATTTAATGACTGCCTAGAGGGGCCTTCTTATTGAGCTAGTTCTAGGCAGAATGTGGGAACAGAAGTAAGGATAAATCAGAATTCTTGATATCAAGAAATGTAACAGGCGTAGTTGTTGATAGAAGCCTGAAAGCTCCTTGATATCAAGAACTTTGAGAATTTATATGATCAAATATTAAATAATATGGGATGGATTCATGACTGTCAAAATAAAAGTAGACAGATTTTGGGGAGCTAGAATATCCTAAAAGGTCTCAGAAAAGCTTGAGCTGTGTTTGAACAGGCGGAAGGCAAGGCATTCCATTGGATTTTTGCAAAAGATCCAAGACCAAGAGAGTGAATGACCCTGAAAAAGTTCCTCAGAGTTACTTAAGAAATATGTGAGTGGGAGGACCAGCAGGTGGCATGGTGGTTAAGGTGCTGGACATTCCCACGTGTTGGACGATGGTTTGAGTTTTGGACCAGGTGACTTGCTTTCTCACTTTCTCTCTCTGTCTCCATCTCTGTCTATCTCACTCTGGTCAAATTTTTAAAAAAAGAAAAGAAACAAAGAAAGAATGAATACATAAAGTTAAATAAATCTTTAAAAATAAAAAATAAAGGAAATATGTGAGTACATATTTAAGAAAGATTCACTTGCTATTTAGATGCAAGGTGATTTCAAGAAGAAAGGCTAGAGTTAGGAAGAGTAGCTAAAAAATCATCATATATAGATAAGGAAGATAATAACCTGGTTTTCTTGCTATTTAGATGCAAGGTGATTTCAAGAATGGAAAGGCTAGAGTTAGGAAGAGTAGCTAAGAAATCATCATATGTAGATAAGGAAGATAATAACCTGGTTTCAGAGTCGTGAGAAACTTTAGTTTGGTATGGTATTATGTTCCCTGATTATCAAAGCATTATATTCTCACTGTAAAACACTTGAAAGGGAAGGGACCAGCAGATGGTGTAATGGTTACATCACTGGCCTCCCACATAGCCAGGTTTGAGGCTGGTGTAATGGTTACATCACTGGCCTCCCACATAGCCAACCATGGTTTGAGTCCCAACCCCAGCAGCGTAAAACTCATGCCAGGCATGTGTGCGTGCATGCCCAAAATCATGAGAGGAGAATGGAGAAGGGACTGTGGTGTGGCCATCCTTGCTGGGGAGTGATTTCTCACTTTCTGTCTCTGTCTCTCTGTCTCTCCCACGAGCATACATGCTCTATAACAAAAATCTCTGACACACACACACAAATTTGAAAGGATAAAGATGATAGAATAGGTTACTTCCATATCATGCCGTTCATCTAGAAAGGAGTACATTTTTGTATTATTTCCATTCAGTTCTTTAAAAAACACTTTTTAGGCTGGCCCGAAAACCTAGTAGTTAAAGAAGCCAAAGCCCACATGGCTGATGGTTTGAATACCAAACCCAACAGCTTGAAAAACACTACAGGATAAAGAAATGGAGGAGAAAAGGTTACAGCATGACCACCCTCCCATTAAGGGGTGCTTTCTGCCCCCCCACTCTGGATAGTGCACACTTCCTCTGACAATTATAAAAAGTTTATTGAGGCAATTATATTGTAGACACAGTACCTGCTATGAGAGAAGCTGTGTCTTTACTGTATTTAATATTCTTTAAATAACTGTATATGCAATTTTTAAAATCTTGCTTTTCCCTTATTATTTTTTATTTAGTTTAGTTTATTTATTATTATTATTCAATTTGACCAGAGGTGGGGTAGTGAAAAGGCAAGCTGCTAGGTCTGGGACTAGAACCACGGTCAGCCATGTGGGAATCCAGCACATTAACTACCGCACCACCTGCCAACCCCCACCTCATTTTTTTTAACCTTGCAAATAATTCTAACAAAAACTATGAAAGTAAAATCAACAGGACTTGATTAGACAATTTTAGTTGGGAGAGACCTTAAAAAGCATATGTGTTAGATTCTTATCTAAATGTTTTTGGAGCTTTTTAGCATTAAAACTTTTTTCAAGGATGTAAAATAGATAAAAGTAAACCTACCTTGACCCACTTATCCAGCCTTGCTTTACCTGCCCAGGTGTGACTCTAAAGAATTGTGAAAACCATTGATCTGGGCTAATCCTAAACTTAGAGATATGGAAATTATGGGGTAACTTCTTCTAATGCCCCCTGTCAAGAACAAGTTAAATTCTATCTAGAATAGATAAATTCAGGAGTATAGCCCACACTTTAAAAATGATTCCATTAAAACTTGGAAGGGCAGTAAGTGGCATAATGGTTAGGGTACTGAACTCCTACCTGGCAGACTGCAGTTTGAGTCCCAGAACAAGTAGCTTGAAATCATGCTGGGGGTGTGTATGCGTGCCCAAAATCCTGAGAGGAGAATGGAGGAGAAAGGATTCCAGGGTAGCCATGCTCCCAGGGGGTGATTTCCCACTTTCTCTCTCTCTCTCTCTCTTTCTCTTTCTGGCAAGCACACAGACAATATGGCCAAAAAACAAACAAACAAACAAAAAACTTGTAGGCATTTATATAACAACAGAACCAAAATAAGAGTGATTTCTGTCATCATCAGATGACCTTATTTAAATCTTCTGACCAATATAAAATTAAGGTAATGAGTTTAAGAAAGATATAACACTAGCATTTTTAAGTGATAGTTACATACTTTAAAAAGCCAAATTTGTTGTACAACTAGTATACTGTGAGTTGAGTAAAATTAATAGATAAAAGGTTCAAAAGCCAGTAACAAATCTTGATTGTGCTACTGGAAAATATAAATGATCACATTCAACTTAGCAATAAAACTGTAAAATACTTGGGAATGCTCTTAACAAAGGATATGCCTAATTGGTGTAAAGACAATGATTACACTAAAATGGAACTAATTTTTTAAATCTTGAAGAAGAAATATATCTTAATACTGACTTGGAAGACTGTTGTTTTGTTTTTCTTTTTCTCTTTAAGAGATTTTTTGCTATAAGGCTCACATGCTGGCCTGGAAAACAGAGAGACAGAAAGCGAGAAATCACCACATCCCCCCCAGGAGGGATGGCCACATGGCAATCCCTTCTCCATTCTCCTCTCAGGATCTTGGATACACACGCCCGGCATGAGTTTAAGCCACTGGGTCCAGGACTTGAACCATGTTCTACTACATGGGAGTCCACTGACGCAATGGTTATGCCACCTGCTAGTCCCAAGACTGTTGTTTTTCTAAAGTCAGTTGTCACAAAGTTGCTTTTAGATTTTAAGAAATTTCAGTAATATTTGCCTTGAACTCATTAAAATTTCTGTAGATTCACTTGAAAAATAAACAAGAATATCAAATAATTTTTAAAGGGAGTAAGGAAGAAACTAACCCATCAAATAATTCAATCATATTTGTAAATGAATGGCTATGAATATAAGTAGTGAAAAAAATTCACAGGCTTCCACCAGTAAATATCAGGAAAGATAGTGAACTTTGAAAGCAGAGCTAAAGTGAATTTTTCTTGTTAGTAAAATGGAATTTATTGAGCTTTTGAAAACATGCATAATTTGGAAGAGAAATAGAGGGTTTGTTCCTATCAATACTACCCTGATTTAAAAAAAAAATTCTCTCTCTCCCTCCTTACATCCCACAAAATGTAGTGGTACTCAGGCAATTCTATGGTAAGTAACATCGTCTTATGAGGAAGACAGAAAAACCGTCCAAGGTGGAAGAATGGGAAAGTGGTACAGCAGATTACAGGTCCAATGAGTACTTCCACTGAGGGCTGTGCCTGAAGCCTACTTGGGAAGGTTGGCATTTACTCAGGGCCTTCAATAAACAAACTGTCACCCAGGATGGCCAGTGACTTACAGGACTACATCTCCCCTCTTCTCACATTTCACTTCCTCCAATTCACTGACGTGTAACAAATAAGTTTAATGAATTGTAAGTGTTCCTTGTACTAATGATAC